AATTTGTTTCACAATCTACCATTTTATTAGGAAGAGTTTTATCTTCAAATATTTCAGATGATACCAATTGTTCAACTTCAGCGAAATTCACAACAGAATTTCGTGTTGGATGATTATCCTGTAATAATGATACTGCTTCTGTAATTTCCATAGACATGTTTGGAAATAATACAGTTTTACTAGACTCTTGTTTATTTAAATTTGTTTCACAATCTACCATTTTATTAAGAAGAGTTTTATCTTCATATATTGTAGATGATACTAATTGTCTTTGGTCAGAACAACCCACAACAGAATTGTTTGTTCGTAGATTATTCTGTAATAATGGTCCTGCTTCTGTAATTTCCATAGACATGTTTGGAAATAACACAGTTCTACCAGACTCGTGTTTATTTAACTTTGTTTCACCATTGACCATTTCTTTCTCACAAACGTCTGCCAAACTTACTGGTAACACTATAGCTGTGGTTGTCACTGATTTATTATGAAAAATCTTGGTTTTGTCTGATAAAGAATTTGTATGATCATTTTCAGAATTATTTAATATTGAATTATGAGAATTCCAATGCATATAAGGAGTATTGCATACAGAATCATCATTGTTTAAATTACTTGAAGGTACTTGAAGTACTGGTGTTAAAGCTGTAGTAAATTCCATCTCCTCATCAATACATAAAGTATTGTCAATATTTGCTTTATCAGGATTTATATTATATCCTAATTTTTCAAAATTATGTGCAGTTCCAGAATGTATGTTAATTGGCACTGCTTTAGTTATTTCCATAGTCTTTTCACTTGTGCACGTAATATCATGTTTATATTGTGGTACTTGAGATGTTTCATTCTTACACATCATATTTATATCAGTAATTGGTGATACAGGTTTAATCATTTCTATGGATGTATCATGAAAAATGGTAATTCTCTTATCATTATTATATGATACTGAATTTGGATCACAATCTACTCTGTGCAGAGTTGATACTGCTGCAGTCATTTCCATTGAAACATTATCAAAGTCTTTAGCAACTAATTCTCCATTATGAAAATTATCAATGGGATCAAAGACATGATCTACTGCTTTCTCTACTTTTGTATTGCCTTTTTTAGTGTTTTGCCCTTGAAAAACATTATTTGTACTTTGAGAAATACTTCTACAAATATTCATTGATGTTGGAACAGCTTTTGTTAATTCCATAGAGGTACTCTTAAGTGTATCTTCTAATTTATTATTCTGAATATGATTTGTATTAATGTGTAAAGTATTACAAACAGTTTCACTGAGGGTTGTATGTGTATTCTGAACAGATGTAACATTCATGTCATTACAATTGACATTATTTATATTTGACTGCTGAGAATTTAAAACTTTATTAGATGTGGTTCTATCTGGTTCTTCATATACTGTAATATTTTTATGTATATGGGTATTACTATTCACTTGTACATTGGTTTCAAACATAGATTCATTTTTATGTTTCACTGTACTATGAAATACGATTGAAGATGGACTTAATAAAATTTCTTCCTGAGTTGATAACGTGTGAGGACATTCTGTGTTATCAACTGTATTTGTAAAGTTCATGTCATGATCTTCTACATTCAGATCATTCTGAATTATTTCATTGGATACAAATTGCATGTTACTAACTTGGGTACTATATGTATCAACATTTTCAGAATTAATATAAACAATTTCATTGTGAAATTCAGTAGTTAGAATATTTTCTTTAAATACACTCTGAACATCACCACTTCCTTCATTAGATGATGTTTTAAGACTGCTCACATCATGTTCCTCATATGTATTATCCCATACAGTTCCTTGTTCCACAGAATTACAAAACTCTCTACATAATGAATATCATACTATTAATTGTTTATTTAACTGCATGTCAGAAACTCACAAAAAATAATTCACAGATAAGGAGGAAGCGACTCACTTGACATGCTTTTTCTCTGCAAAACTTACACGCCTTTTAATCTTTGTTGTAGTTGCAGGACTATTATCACTGGATGAATTATTAAAATTTAAACTCTGCAATGGTAGTCGTGGTTTAGGTGGCTTAAGAATCTACATACATTATAAAAGCAATAACAATATTAGTTTTGAAGTTTTAAAAGTGTTTAAGTTTCAACACATTCAATTAAAAGATTCTTCTGGTCTTTAAACCAGTATTAAACTGCAGTTCAGCCTCAGTGTATTTTTAACAAATACATTTATTGTAAGTTCTAGACCAAAAGTTAATCTTAATTGATATTATACCCATGTAATCATAATGCAATACACATAAAGCAAACATTTTAAATAATATACTGTTACTGTTTAAAAAGTATATCAATAAATTCTTAACAAATTTAACATGGAAAATTAATAAATGTTTATTTCCTTGACATATATTAAGAGTGTATTAAATTAAAATAAAATATTCACATTAAGCAAAAGTAGACCTTTAATGAGCGTTATTTTCGTATTATCTGTACCAAAACTGTTCCATCAGCAAAAGATTAATGTTAATGTCAACAAATGTTAAGCACATATCTATTCAATATTTGTTTACTTACAGAAGACCGTCGTGAACTGCTTCTAGTAGATCTGGAGGGAATCCTATAAAATATGGAACAAAATACTTAAATTAGAAAAAAACGTCTAAAGAAGTATTCTTATTTACAAGATCCAAATAAGATTCAGAGTAAATATTTAATCTAGTAGTAGATGTCGAAAATATGCGAATCATTAAAATTTGTACACTAGATGATATACATATATTATAAATAATTGAAAAATACAAATATCGTTCAAGGTTAAACATTCAACGATTCCCAATTATATTCCTGATACTTAACGATATTCATCACTGAAAACATATGATCTAAATCAAAGCTAAATAAACAAGCGTTACCATGGAGTAAAAGAAGAAAATAAACGAAAGAATACTTACATTTCATTATATCTAAACTTGATACAATACAATGCAATTCAAATTTTATCGAAATTGGAAGGCGTTATTTCATGGATGGAGCAGGGGGGCCAAGCGTAGATGCGGAGAAGTGGAACTGTCTAACAGATTATGTTACACGCAATTGCGCACATAAACACGTAAAAAGTACTAGTCGACAACCAATGGAAACCATGAAGACGTGAGCCAATCATAGCAACAAAAGTCATGCGTTCTGTTATCATCAAAGCAAGATTGTAGTGTTATAAAACAAAGAATCGTATTAATTATACATTTATGAAAAATAAAGAATAGTTAATTAAAAGATATCAGTGGCGCTATCTTATTGTAAAGGTTGGAACTATTTTCACTACAAACTTGGGCCTTTTCCCACCGATGACGCCACTAACCGAGTCGATACTTGTGGCAGCATTGAATAATTATTTATAAAAATGATACATTTGACATATTAACTAATATATTGTAGTGCTATAAAGCAAAAAAGTTTCTCAATATTTGTTCAATTATCATTCTTTAAAATTAACATTGCGAATAATCAAGTGCCCCGCGTACTGATGCTTCTACGTTCAGATTAGAGACCTTGTTCAGGTCATAAACGTATAGTTTATGGTTTTGATATGATATAGCTACAACTTTGACTATAGTAAAAGGGGGCACTATTGGAGCCATCTAAACATGAACATGATGTTTCTATACAAGTTTCGCCTCTGAAAAAGTATTCTGTGGCGGAGATCAGTTTTAAGCAAGGATATTTTTGTGTTGAGGATAAACTGAACGTTTTACACGTGCCCTTCTCAGAGTTTTAAAAACAATTTTATGAAAATGGCGTTGAGTCCAAGCACAAAACAGAAAATTGCAATTGTTTTAGATGTGACCAAGGTTATATTTCACTGGGGATTCATTCCTGCGGTATTATTTTTAGGTTAGATTCACCTTCTTTGATAATTATAAACACAATTGTATTTATTTGGCTTCATAACGAGGGCAAAGAATGAAATAACTGTTTACAAATAATTTAATTTATAGGCTTTAGAAAAGGTGCTGATCCAGGAATGCCTCCATTATCGATTGTAAAGTAAGGTTTATCAAGTATATTCTTACATAAAAGTTTAAGTTAACTTATTTTAAAAACAAAATTTTATATTTCAGCTTACTGTGGCAATAAATGCATCTGTTTCAATACTGTTCCATTTTATTTTCTACAATGATATTCCTATTGTTCAGACAACACATGTTTCCTCATTCTTGTTAAGTTTAATATATTTTTACTTGAGCAGTTGTAGTAATTAAAATTATTAGTAAGAAAATGTTACCCGAATATTGAATTAAATAAAATACAAATTTCTAGTTATACATTAATCTATATGTTATATTTATACATATTTCCTATAAAACTTCAGGCAAAAATTACACAAGATATGTAAAATAAAATGCAAGGTCGTTGCTAAAAATAGATATTTAAATCGTAGAAGAGACATTTACTAAAAATTGATATTTTACACAATGAAAAAAACATGATTAACAATTGTTTAAATTTTCGTCCATCTATTTCACAATCAGTGTATCCACACCTCAAAAGAAAAAGTGCTGAATTTTATCAGATTGTCATTGTCACTTTGTGGAATCGTAACATCAGATTTGTTCCTTTACCGTAAACATTTGTGGTCAATTTATCAACTGTAAAATAAAAATATTGCGATAAAGACGTTAGGAAAATAAAAATCGTTTGTGTAAAATCGAGCGGGAAGAGAAATAGCCAAAAGGAATGGCTCGCGAAACCGTTGACGCGTTGTTTCGTTGGTAACAGTGGCACCTAACCTGTCAGAAGTAAAGCAGCAGATCGCAACCGTGATCAGTTTTAGGCACGTAACGCAAAAACGTTTTAGGTTCGCGGATCTGCTGTGTTCCGTCACCGCGAAAAGTATACAAGTAATAAGTGGAGGGACAGTGAAAATTTCTCATCGATGTGTATGTAGAGGAAAGTTAGCGGTGATCGTTAAAGGTGGCCACCACATTTTCATAAGAACTCCCTTGTCCAACCCTGCCTGTTATGCGGTGGTGAACGTCGACAGGTGAGTGTACGATTTCTGTCTCACGATCACGATACACTTCCCTCGTTCTGGCCCGATGAAAAAAAATTATATTCTCCCATGGCGACGGGCTACGGTGGTGTTACTCTGCCAATTGCTTTTCTTGTGGATGTCCAATAGTGACGGGTGGTAGTGTTGTAGCACGAAGATTTGTGATGTTCCGATGTTTCCTGACGAAAGATTCGAGCCGCTACTAACGATGCGCATCCTGATGTAACTACATCGGTATGGACCCTCCGATTACCGACTAAACCTTTCTGCACAAATGATTTTTTTTTCCACGGATATTTTCGTATCTAGTTGAACGTACGATCGCTCGCTTCTTAACATTCTCCGTACACACGCACGAAAAAACGTTTTACGCAGTTTTATTTATAGTTTTACAAAGCAGTTTTCAACAGCCTCGAGTATGTGCATAAGCAAGTAGTTGTGACATCAATATTGTGAAATTATCAATAACTGATTGGAATCATTGAATGTGATGTGCTTCAAGAGTAATTCCAGCTACTGATTTTCTTGTCTTTGTTTTACCTCTTTATTGTTATGTAGTTTATATGAAATGGAGTATCTTAAATAAAGTAATGTTATATGTTTATATAAATGAAAGTAAAACTATACCCATCATTGTTCGATGTTTGTTTTAATATCGCAATTCTATTGTATATAATTTTAAATTTGCACTGGATTAATTGTAACGGTTGCTTCTGTATCTTTTCTACAGAGTTTATTGTAGGAAGTAGTAACAGTGACGCTCACTCGACAAGCGTATTGAATTAGGATGTCAGGGTATAGAGCTAGTGGAGGAGCTGGGAGTCATCAAGGAGGTTACCCAGGTCTCAGACAAATAGATTTAGATCAAATCTGGGGAGACCTCCGTGAGGGTATCGAACAAGTTTATAACAGACAATGTATGTCTAAACCAAGATACATAGAATTATACACGTATCCTTTGTAATTATTAAAACAACCATCTAATAAGTGCCAATGATCTAATAATTTCCTTACTACATTATATAATCCATCAGTCATGTATATGATTATTGTACGAGTGTTCATCAACAAGTAAATAAAACATCGATTAAAAGCAAAAAAGGACAAATTTCTCAAGGAGGTGCACAGTTAGTTGGTTTGGAGTTATACAAACGTTTGCGTGAATTTCTTAGAAATTATCTCGTTAGTTTACTGGAGGTAATGATTATTTTACTAGTTATTAGTATTTAGTGATTTTGAATAAAAAAAATGATTAGTATAATAATCTGAGCACCTTTGATACAGCATGGAGTGGACTTGATGGATGAAGATGTATTACAGTTCTATACAAGGCAGTGGGAAGAGTATCAGTTTAGTAGTAAAGTTTTACATGGTGTATGTGCGTATCTAAACCGTCACTGGGTACGTAGGGAATGCGAGGAGGGGCGTAAACAAATTTATGAAATTTATCAGTTAGCTTTGGTTACATGGAGAGAAAATTTGTTCAAGCATTTAAATAAACAAGTAAGTTATTTAACTTACCAAGTGAATAACTTGTATGGATTATATCTAAATATAAAGGAAAATAGAAAGTAAAATTAACATTCTAATATTCTTTAGGTTACTAATGCAGTCCTCAAATTAATTGAAAGAGAACGCAATGGGGAAACAATAAACACACGTTTAGTCAGTGGTGTAATTAATTGTTATGTAGAATTGGGTTTAAATGAAGAAGGACAAAATCTTATAGTCTATAAAGATTCTTTTGAAAATATCTTCCTTGAGGACACAGAAAGGTTTTATACTCGTGAAAGTTCAGAATTCCTCAGACAAAATCCGGTTACAGAGTATATGAAAAAGGTTTTCAAGCAAAAATTTTTTATAATTCTCTAATACTTCTTAAACAAATGGTTTACCATTACTATTTTACTACAGGTTGAGCAAAGGTTACTAGAAGAACGAAAACGAGTACAAGTTTACTTACATCAAACAACTTGTGAAAGATTAGCAAAAACATGTGAAAAAGTGTTAATTGAAAAACATTTAGACATATTTCATTCTGAATTTCAAAATCTTTTGAATGCTGACAAGAATGTAGATTTAGGACGAATGTATCAACTGGCAGCAAGAGTACCAAATGCTCTTGGAGAATTAAGAAGTCATTTAGAAAGTCACATAGCCAACCAAGGACTTGCAGCTATTGACAAATGCGGTGATGCTGCATCTAATGTATGTTTCACATTAATTTATTATTATAATTAATTATAATTAATAATTCTGTTGACATAATTTTTCTACTTATTTCTCCATTGTAGGATCCAAAGGTTTATGTGAATACAACTCTAGAGGTTCATAAAAAATATAATGCTTTAGTACTTGTTGCATTTAATAATGATAGTGGTTTTGTGGCAGCTCTTGATAAGGCTTGTGGAAGATTTATTAATAATAATTCGGTAACTAGAGTAGCAAATAGCAGCAGTAAGTCACCAGAATTACTAGCAAAATATTGTGATTTGCTGCTGAAAAAGAGTAGTAAAAATCCGGAAGAAGCAGAACTTGAAGACACGCTTAATCAAGTTGTGAGTAATAATCATGGATGAAGACAGTTTGTATTGAATAACGTTGTTATTATTACTTTTAACTATACCGATATTCCTGCTGTTTAATTGTAGATGGTAGTGTTTAAATATATTGAAGACAAAGATGTATTCCAAAAGTTTTATAGTAAAATGTTGGCAAAACGATTGGTACAACATATGTCAGCCAGTGATGACGCAGAGGCTTCCATGATCTCTAAATTGAAACAAGCTTGTGGTTTTGAATACACTTCAAAATTACAACGAATGTTCCAGGTACTGTATTATGCTATAAAATTATTATTTTTCTATTTTATTTCATAAAATGTATTGCTTTTCGTGTAGGCAACTATTTCCACACTAACTATGAATATCTCTCAAAATTATATAACATTATAATTGTAGCAGTCTGTCCACAGGATATTGGAGTGTCCAAGGACCTAAATGAGCAGTTCAAAAGACATTTGACAAATTCTGCAGAGCCATTGGATATAGATTTCAGTATACAAGTACTGTCTTCTGGCTCATGGCCGTTTCAGCAATCTTTTACTTTTTCATTACCAACAGAGGTAAATTTCATTTATAATACAAGATGTTTTAGTTTTAAATTTATTATAAATACCTAATGTCACATTTGTGCATTGCAGTTAGAACGATCTGTACATAGGTTTACTACTTTCTACAGTTCGCAACATAGTGGAAGGAAGTTGAATTGGTTATACAATATGTCTAAAGGAGAATTACATACAAATTGTTTCAAAAACAGGTAATAATATATCTAAAGTATAAATTTAATACTTTAAAGAGTTTCTTAATATTCAAAAGTGAGTTCCTATAATCTGATTTTAGATACACATTACAAGCATCCACTTTCCAAATGGCTATTTTATTACAATTCAATGGATCCACAGCATGGACAATACAGCAGTTACATGATGCTACTAACATAAAAATGGATTTTTTGTTTCAGGTAACGTATTAGCATTAAAAATAATCACGGAGAAACCTAAACTATATAAAATATTTTTAATGTTGTAGGTTATTCAAATACTTTTGAAAGCTAAGCTGTTGACAGCAGCTACAGATGACGAAACTGAATTAACACCACTGACAACAGTGGAACTTTTCGCGGGATATAAAAAGTATGTTTAATTAGTTTCGTGATATATTTATTTTGTCCAGAGTTATATTGGTATATCATTTTTATAACAGCAAAAAGCTAAGGGTAAATATTAATATACCAATGAAAACGGAATTGAAGGTCGAACAAGAAACGACACATAAACATATAGAAGAAGATAGAAAACTTTTGATTCAGGCAGCAATTGTTAGAATTATGAAAATGAGAAAAGTATTAAAGCACCAGCAACTGGTAGCTGAAGTATTGAATCAATTAAGCGCTAGGTTTAAACCAAGAGTTCACGTTATTAAGGTAAGTATGAACAACAAATTTCTTTTTATTTATATTTTCAAGATCATATCGGTACGATAAAAATTGAAATAACCGTGTAAATTTGTTTACTACTGATAAATTTCTATGATAACAATTAATTAGTTTCAAATGATTAAACAAAATTGTAAAAGAATTTTATCATAACATAAGATGCTCTGCTTTTTCAGAAATGTATAGATATTTTAATTGAGAAAGAATATCTGGAGCGCACAGAGGGTCAAAAGGATACTTATAGCTACCTGGCATGATCAAGTTGATGTAGGACAATGATACAGCAGCAACCATATACGCGAAAGAAAGATGATTCTCCACTCTCATTGCTACATACTGTCACAATATTTATTTAAGTCTCATATTTTGAATCTCGTATGTTTTCCTTGTACATGGATGCCTTTGTACCATGTTGTCCCTCTGGTCGCATTTAGAGTCTGATTTTTATAGTATGTTAATAAAATCATTTCATAGCCAAAATGCTAGGTGTGTTACTGTCTGTGTCGTTTTTGACATAAGTTGAAGGATAAATTTTTTACAATGCAGTATGATATTATAACAAAATAATGAAATGAATTTTATTTTTAAATTAACATTAAAAATTATATTCTTGAAATCATCAAACTCTATAGTGAAACGAGACAAAAATAAGAGACTAATCGTGACAAAAGTAACATGAGTAAACATATTCTGTGAATAAAGTACTATTTAAAAAAAGTTCAGGGTACGCCATAAGTCATATTAACCAATACTAATGAAAAACTGTCTTTTCTGATCATGTAATATAAAAATGAAATACAGTTTCAGCTATTTGTATTATAGAATACGAAACACATTTTAAATTCGAGTAAGCACATAGATAGTAATACATTTTAGCAATCGTGAAGTTCGGTTAGTGATCATATGTATAAGGAATAAAATTTTATACCAGTGAATAAACGAATCTGCTCTAATAATGTAAAAATTGAGTTGTTCTTTCGGTTAGAGCAGTCTCAATTTAAAGTTAATTTTTCTAATAACTGGAAGAACTTGAAAAAGAACATATAATTATTGTTTTTATAGAATAATAACTTCTTATAAGAATAATAACTGAACAATTTGTGACTCTTTATGTCGAAATTGTAAAGAGTTATTTAAAAAATATGTATTGTATACATTGTAACTAAAGCTTAGAAAGCTTGTTTCTGCTATTAAGTGAAAAGAACGTTTAAAGTATGATACTAATGAATTTTTTCTTTGTTAATGGTAGATGTGTTACATTTTTGAAACATTATTCGAATGGTTTCTTCAAAGTTTTATCTTTTAGTAATTAAAACACATTAGATGTTCACAGTGCAATATAAAACTAAACGGAAATTTGTGGTATAGTATGATTTTGAATGCAGGTACAAGCAGTGGCTGAAATTTGACATAAGTAACAGAATAATAATTGTTAACGCATCGATGCCACTAATATTAAGAACAATATAGTAAATCACAGTATATACGTGTATGTAACTCTAATGCTTGCAAATGTTATCACCATTTTGGTGTTGAGTAATGGAACTCAACGTGTAAAAAGGCTGAGATGCAAGTATCTCGAACTGAAAGTTATTGTAATTATAAACAAAAAGCGAAAAATGAAAAAAAGTATATTAAAACTTCTTTGAGGGTGAGTAACATCTTGATATTTAATTACAAAAGGAAACTATTAAATTAATGTATTTTAATATATAAAACGTACTACGAATTCGATTGATGAAGTATTAAAGTAAAATTGTCCAAACTAGGTTGTGCAGGATGTGTTAAGCTGGAGATGTGAGCATGTATATCACTTTTTTAATATTTTACATCCTTTAATTAACTCCATATGAAAATTTCTAGATTCGATTATTCCTGTAGGTTTAGGAAACGTACAACGGTACATTGTTTAAGCTAGAGCATACCGAATTTTCTACTGCCGGGATTGAATTTTCTAAAATCCATGTATCGTGCAATGGAGAATAACATCGATGTTTTCTGAAATGTTTGAACGCTTAAACTTTCACTGTGTGTGCCACATTAACGTCTTATGTTCGAATAAAATCAAAACGATCATCTTACAGGCGCTAACTGTGGAACGTATTAGTAATTTGAATTTTTGTATATACAGCTGGGATTCATTGTTGTCAATTTTTATTTCCCATGCACAAAATAGGACTTATGTGTAAATAAGTTGAGCAAGTCATTTAATGTTGTTTGAAATAAAAACATTCAATTCATTACAGTTACAATGGAAATCAGTCATACGGCTCATTGCAAATTTTTTACTGGATTCTTTTAAAATAAAATGCAAAATAAAAATAAGATTTCATTCGAATGCATGATTTCCACGGTAACCATAAAGACACCTTTTATATTTCGTTTTAAAACCTCTATTACAGATCCTATTAATTATTCAAGTACTATCACTATTTTGTATAGCGCAATCGAATAATTGCTACGATTATGCCGTAATTTAAAAGTATATTTATTTTCAATAAGAAAATGTTACAAGTGACTTATAACATTAAAATTATAGCATAAAGCTTTGAGTTAAAAATCAGATTTCTTAGTTTCATTACATTCTGACAAGTAATATATGATGTAAGGACACATAAAACACATTTTCTGTGAAGAGTATTGTTAAGAAACACATGTTGTAAAATAAAATTGTATAAAACTTGTGGCTATGAAATGGAGTTATTCCATCTTTCACAGTGTATAAATTGTAGCAGTCATTCAATAAATGTTTTATATACAATTTATCATAAGCACTCTGGTTTTTGATCCAATAATCTCGAAAAATCTTCTTGGGTAAATTTCAATTGTCCAATTCCAATTAAGCATGCCTATGGAAATACACAAATGAAACTACTTGTTTACAATTTATGTAAAATAATTAAAACTGATACATACATTTTGCTTTTTTAAGTTATCTATAATCAACATTTGTTTTTTAAATACATGTGCAAATTCTGAAAGCTGTTTTCTTAGATTATTAACTGTCAGCTTTTTATCATCCTGCAAGTTTCTAATTTGATTTCTTAATTCCTAAATACAAGTTAAACTGGTTAAAAAAACTGTATATAGTGATTTTATAATTTATATTAAATATAATTTTTTATTGCGTACCTTTTCTTCTATTTGAAAACATTTAAGTGAATTTCTGAGTTTATCATTACTTTCTAAAGACCTATTCAATCTCATACTGTAATTGTCAGACTGCTGTTTCAATGCTTTTACTTGTTTTTGAAGTTTATCTAAGTCCTGTTAAGAATCCATCTCATAAATGTATAAAACATTACATATAATTATTTTTATTTATGGATTTATACCTTTTTTATAACTGAATTTTCAGTATTCATTGCTTGTGATTGAGACTGTAATTCCTTATTAGTATTTTCTAATTTTGTAATTGTATTTTTCAGAGATTCTATTTCATTGTGTGATTTGAATTCAATTTTTTTTTGTTCAGACTGCAAATCTATGCATACATTGCACTGCAATATAATACACATTACTAAACAATTAATCAAATAATTTGTTTTTGAGCCTACACAAAATATTAACTACCTTCTTTCTGTATTCAGCCTGTAATGTTTGTAGTTCAGTTTGCAATATATCTATTTTACCTTTAAATAAATTAATCATGGTTTTATTTGCCAAGTTTCCTTTCTTAGAAATTTCATCTCCATAATCCTTTTGTATTTCTATTTTTCTATCAAATACAAATAGTTATTAATTTGAATTGCATTTTAATTAATTAAAAAATTAACATAATGCTGAAACTTTAATATCAACAAACGAGTGTATGTTACGTTTACTTACGATTTTAAAGGCGAAGTTTGGTCGAAAATATATGGCAAAGATGCATTTCGCTTAACGGAAACCTGCGAATCGACATCTGTCGTTATTGTATTTTTCGAAAACTCAGTTATTTCTCTTTCGAAATTTGTATATCGTGTTTTAGAATTAGAAGTTGAGTATTCATTATTATAAGTGTTTATAACATGATCTACGTTTTTTATCAAATCATGTGCTTTCTGCTTGAGTTCTTTATTTAATTGACGAAACTCTTTTTCCTTAATTAATAAGTCTTCAGTCATTTTTCAATGTAGAATATATATTATTTAGTTGTTTTTCTAGATATGAATACCAGCTACGATAAAATTCGATCTTTTCGTAATATTTCTCTATTCCATTCGAATATTCATGCTGTCTCAATATTCTACTCGATCAAAACACCTGTTTATTTGTTTATAGAGTCGCTGTACGACATCATGCGCGAAGGGCGGCACTTTTTCGTTTTCAAACATACGATAGTTTGTGCTAATTGGTGCTAGTAATCGTTATAAAGAAGCATAAGAAGTGTCAATATCGTAGCAAAAATATAAAAAATTTATTAATAGGCGAAAATGACAGCACGTTCAATTCTACAAGGTGCACTTCTTAATATTATTACAAATGATCTAGGAAATTTGGCAGTTGTTTACATCGACAGTTCGTGTATAATAGTATTATAATTTCGGCTGCAAAAACCATTGTCATTTTTGTGCATGGGTTGCAAAATATCTTTCCTACCGAATGATATGTAGGTTTGTTAATATTAATATTATTAATCATTGTACCTTTGTAGTTTTTGATCGGTATCAGAAGGCTCGTTTATTGTTTGTTCAATCCGTTGCGGATTTCGCTTCGAGACCGAACAATATAGAATGTTTAGAAGCTGCTGGAGCCTTGGATCTCTTACATCCTTTATTAACAGATTTTGTGCCATCTATTCAACACATGGCAGCTATTGCATTAGGGAAAATTGCAAGTAATGATCATAGACTGGCACAAGCTATCATAAGAAAGGATATTTTGCCTCACTTATTGCAGAATATTGATAAACAAAATGTATGAATATAAGCATTTTAATTTTAGAAAGATATGTTCTTTTTTTTTCATGAAAATAAGATGTATTCTGTAATACAAATTACCTGGAAGAATACAGTAGGATTAATTGTTAAAACATTTAAGAACATTTTTTATAGAAATTTTATAAGAAAGCAGCATTGTTTGTTATTCGTGCAATAGCTAAGCATTCCTCTGAATTAGCATCCATAGTGATTCAAAACAATGGATTAGATTTTGTTATACATAGCTTAGAAGATTTCGATGCTATTGTTAAAGAAGCTGCTGCTTGGGCATTAGGATATATTGCAAGACATAACAAAACTTTAGCTCAAACTAGTGTTGATGCAGGTACACATACCAATATATTATTTATTCTTGTATTAGATATTTATACATTGATTACATTATTTATAGGTGCAGTGCCCCTTTTGGTTCTGTGTTTACAAGAACCTGAACTGTATGTGAAACAAATTGCTGCATCTGCTCTTTGTGACATAAGCAAACATGATAAAGATCTTGCTGAAGTTGTTGTTGATGCAGGTGCAGTTCCTTTTCTTGCAAAAGCAGTGTCTAACCCTGATACCAAGTTAAAGGTGAAATAGGCTATCATACCATATGATTTTGTAATATAATATTCTAGTTTTTAATAATATGTATAGCGTCAAGCCCTTTCTGCACTGACCAGTATAGCAAAACACTCTGTAAACCTGGCAGAATCTGTTATCGAAACTGAGATTTTTCCTGATGTTCTTGTACATATGGCACATCCTGATGAATGTGTTGTTAAAGCTGCAGCAACACTAACCAGAGAAATTTGCAAGCATACATTAGAAGTACAAGTATTAAGGCACCAATCTATTCATAACATACTAATTATATTTTTCTTTCAGATGGCTCAACTCATTGTAAATATTGGTGGTATTGGTGCACTTGTGGAATTAATTGATACATCGAAACAAACAGTCAGATTACCAGCAATAATGGCAATTGGTTATATTGCTGGACACTCGGATCAGTTAGCCATTGCAGTTATAGGATCTAAAGTATAACATTATAATATTTCTGTTATTAAAATATTATAAACAAATATGTCTCTTGTAGGGAGTTATCCATTTATCTGCTGCATTACACGAAGAACAGAATGATCGTATGCTTGCTGTTACTGTGTGGGCAATTGGTCAAATTGGAAAACATACACCAGAACATGCAAAAGCAGTTGCAGTTGCAAACATTCTTCCAAAGTTATTAGAAGTATGTACAAATTATAGTTAGAGAATATTATTTATAATATATATTAACAGTATTCATTTAATTTTCAGCTTTATAATGATGCAAATAGTTCAGAGGATCTCAAATCAAAATGTAATACAACACTGAAGCAAATATTACAGAGATGCATGTATATTGAAGCCTTAGAACCCTTACTACATGATTCTCCACCTAACATATTGAAATACGTACTTGGACAGTTTAGTAAGGTAAGATGAATAAGAGATAGATGAATACTTTTAACTTGTATATAATTCTTTACTTTATACATATTTGTTACAAGTTGTACTTAGAGCTTACAAACTAGAAAACATATCATTACAATAAATGAAGTAGTGGTTGTGTTATGAATTGTAATTAAAAATACCACATTTATGTTTTATTATTTATCCTATTATACATACATTAATAGGATAAATTATACAAATAAATAATATTAACAAATCTTTCTATATCGAATACAAAGTATTATATCATAAAGTTAACGTTTAGTGACCATTTTGTGTCTTAATACAGTAATATTTATATACATACACAAAACATGATCAAGCTACCTAATGTTGCTCTATTGAAAAATTGGTCAAGCAGCTTTATAAGGTGAATGGTTCTCTTCTCTCACATAAAAACTATTATACCACAGATAACATTCTATCAATTAGAATCCTAATTTTCTGATACTATTCTGGTACACAGTACAGCACAATGGTTCATTCAATACCTGTATAACTTATTCATACGATTTTTACTACTCACTTATCCTCCTTGTATGTATGTATGTATTTATGTAAAGACGGCACAAATTTTAATTTGGCTTCAATCAACATAAATATCAAACATTAGGTATTTCTATTAAAAATTAATAATATTCCTCGATATGCTGTATGTCATTGTATTTGTTTGACAACTAGATAAGTAGAAAGTGAAAAAATCGATAATAGCGTAAAATAGTCTGTTACTTTTTTAATGTTTCTCTAATAATTATTATGGCACATTTAAAGTCCCAGAAAAGCACATTTCTCAGTCTTGCCACAGTAAATGGTTCGGCTAAAGTACAAGGACGATTGAATTATTAAATGCTTCTTGCTTAAAAATTTTAATTGAAATATGAAATATTTATACATACTTTTTACCAAGCTACTCCCTATTTGCATCTATTGTACCGTGATGTATTTTCTAATGGCAGTATTTGATATAAAGAGACCAGTTGTACACAAATTGTAGATGTAGATATTAAATAATTGTTGAGTTAGAAGTAAATATTAATCATTGATCAATAAAAATTTCAGTTTATGAAACTGTTGATCAATAAGGCATTGATTTGATATTTGCAGTAATACATTAATGTAATGTACAAATCTTAATATTATGTGCTTTGAATCATATTTTTGATAAATATTAAGCTCGTGGTTTATAACTATCAATAAATGCAATTGCACCCCAGCAAAGCTAATCATTATTTCATATTCATTCAAACTGTACTGTTAGCTTTTATATAAATACAGATAAAGAAATGTATGAGATGCAATCGGCAGTAATAGTTACTTTCGCTCAATTAAAAATATTTTATAAACATTAGCAAAAGCTACTTTGATAAAAGTTAGAAATTATAAGATACATATTTAAAAAAGCAATCATCGATTTTTATTTGCAAAATTACGCCTGATGATTACTTTCATTGTAGTAAGAATTCGGCATATATAAATTGTAGTAAATGTGTTCATCTTAAAACTAATTCGACCAAATAAATCAACATAAAAAAACATATTAAAATAATTAAAACATTGTAGTTTACCAAAATTTTTGTTGCATAATAATTTCTAATCGTAAAGCAATTAAGGCATATAATCGGTTTAGACCATGGAATCTGTCCAAATTTTTCTGAAAAATGAAAAAGAAAACAAATTGTATTATCAAAAAATTGAAAGCTGATCAATCATTTTTATAATGGTACTTAAGTAATTAATTTTTTAATGTTAAAACAAAACCTTAATAATATGTTTTTTTATTATGAAAGAAAAAACTGTTTAAGTAAAACAACATATAACATTATAAATAGTTTATCAATTAATATAAACCTTTTCATAATATCACTTAATTAGAAGATTTTGCTTTGTAAAAAGTAATATATATAATAATTTGTGCAGTTTGTGATTCTTAAATATCCACAAATGATACATGGTTTTCTATTGTACTACTATAAAAAAAAATATACATGCTTTTTATCAGTACATGTTACCAAAAGTCTGTGTGATAAGTTCGTTTTGTACACTTTCCATCGCGACATACGTAAGAGCATGTTAATAAGCACATATTTATGATCTACATCGTCATTATGACAAACAAATTTGAACATAATATATAACAGTTATACGTAAATAAAAGATAAATATTTACCAAGGTGATGCATTATGTAAGATAAGTTACTTTTCAAGAGACATAATTAATAAGTACTGAATTCACAATGATTTTCTTCCAAAATATAGTCGTTTTTTAAATCATTACAAAGCGATTAAGTTATTTATAATTTTCTTTTTACAAAGCAATACTAGTAATTATTTAATTATTATCAAAATAAAAACATGAATTTGGTCTACTACTCCACTCATGTAACAAAATCATTATTTTATTCATCATTGTCATCATTGGGTTTAATACTAGCATAATTGTTCATGTTTCTATTCACCCTCAGCATCTTGAGAAAACTGCCTAGAACAAGTATAGTCTTCCTATGTCTCCTGAAGATTCCAGCATAAAGTTCTTCGCGTACATCCCTTCTGTCACTCACATCAGAATCAATACTTGATACAGAGACAACAGAAGGTTTGGCAGAGACCGGCTGATGATAGCTGTTGGTCTCTCCCGAATTTAAAATAACGCAATGTTGATTGTTTATCATGTCTATTATTAATTTTTCGCTTTTTTGGTTAAAGTCTTAGACTTTTTTTATACCCACGTTTTTCCGCAATTAACATCTATTCCACAATGATCAACCAAAAACTGTACTAAGCTTACTTCACATGTAGCCTGTGAAACTTCCGTGATTACACTGTGTGATTTAGCAACGAGTTTACTTCTTATAAGTTATCAATTTTTATGTAGCTGCTATCAGACATATTCACTAGAAATCTGACAGTCAGTATCATGCAATACACACTGTAATTAATCTTTTGTATACAATGATATCGTCTTTTACCACTTAATTCGTATATGTTTGAACTATAAGGCAGCTGTCTTGTCATGTTATCAAAGCCATGCATATCACCAATGAATTTATTACTTTTAATTATAATATTTTAAGTTTTCTAGTCATTTTTAAGTTTTTTTCTTATCCCGTTCACTTTGTAAAATTATTATTTTAACTATTTTATTAAAATCGTTGTACTGAGAGTTTTGCTTGATACTTGTTTCGATATTTTTCCGTTTTTCTTAAATTATTATCTTTTTTAATAATTTATTTTAAAAAACGTTTCAAAAATTCTAAAACTTTTCTTCTTTAGTTTCTTTCAGACTATATTTAGATACGAAATTATACTTTGTAATAAAGCAGCCAGACAGCTTTAGATTAGCTCTGTAGGTAATATATTAGAAAAGTAGCGCCGAATCTTGTTTCCTTAGCGGCCGATATTTAACACCACATCCCACTGAAAAAAATGTAATAATTCATATTTTCAATGAGGATACAAGTCAATGCTACATACAAAAAACAAATGAAATTCGTTAAAAAAATAGATAAATTCCTAAGTATATCAACTGGTTCGCGACAAATTCGCTTTTCCACGCCTTTGCTCTGGAATTTTGTTTTCGGAAATGAGATATTTTTGGCGCCGATGAAAGACAGAAAAAATATACAGATCTGATTTTGGTTGCTGCGTATCGAGAGTATACGTTAATACGTATAATACATATGGTATCCTGTACATATGTATTCTCTGTGTATTCCATAAAAAAAACGTGATAGATTAAAAATTTTGTGATAAATTAAGTAAATGTATCGTAATACAGATGATATTAAATCATAAATACGTTTCAGATTTATAACTTCCGTATTTCATAAAAAATTCTATATTAACAAAGCATACAATAAAAAATATATTGTTCAGTTAAAACAAGTTAGTTCACTATTAATATAAATTATAAAGATATTAACAATAAATATAAATTCAATTATGAATGAAAATTATTTATTCAGAAATGGTATTATTGCGTAGAACTCATCGATAGCGCGTTAAAAGCGATACGTAAAATGAAACGTAACAGATGCGTCTTATCGTGCAAAGAATATTTATGAAATTTCAACGATTTTGCAACAGATTTTAATATAGCGTTATACTATTTTTTCTTATCGGTAAAATTAAATATATGTAATTTCATGTATTGGAATAATCGACACGTACTTTTTGTTGCAAATTAAAACATCAAAGAAAGTAGGTTTACTTTAAACGAATTCACTCAAACAGTGTGCAGGTCAGGTTTCAGAAGCCTTATTCTTAGGTGCATTGCAACATGCAAACTGATTGCTAATAATGTTCCTGTACCACCTACTTATGTACATATATACACACCCACTGTACAACTCTCTCTTCCTCTCTCTTATTCTCTTTGAGAAGATTAAAGTATCATATAATGCAAAAATTTTGATTTCAGGTTTTGATAATGTTGTCTTTACACAGGTTTTGCCCAATGATGCCAGAGCAAGAAGGCTATTTGTGACATCGGGTGGTTTAAAAAAAGTCCAGGAAATCCAGGCAGATCCTGGTTCAACGCTTTTAGAATATATACAAATTATTAATTGCTGTTTTCCTGAAGAAATTATCAGGTTGTTTTTAAATCCATACTTCTACCAAGCATTCTTTCAATTAATAATACTTCTAATGTTCAATTGCTATCTTATGTTATTCTTCAAACATAGATTGGCTATTAGAATTACTTTGATAATACATGAATAATTAATTTTTGTAATGTTTCTGGAGAAAACTAGATGATTCCTTTTAATATCATTTTATTTTTTTTGATCGCTTCTTCCCATATTGTCTTCCATGGAATTACTTGACTTTATAACATTTGTGAAATTAAATGATATCTCAATATATGCAAAGAAGTATGTATATGTAATGATAATGGTAACAGTAGGTAATCATCAAAAACACTAGTTGCTTTTGACATAACCCTAGTAAAGATTTACTTACCGAAGGAATTTGGCAACATGGATTTTTGTCGATGAAAAAATCCAGTCTTCTTAGAGCTGTTTACACGAACAGTGAGTGCAAATAACTGCAGCTCCGTTGCTAGATCTCGTGTGTCTTAATTTAAATCGGGCAGGTAATATACGGCGTGACCGCCATGTTGTCACAGCTGATTGCATTGGAAAAATATAAACCCGGACTTTATTGGATCAATAATTTTACGCGCACCCGATGATTTCTGTGACTATTGTACACGATAACCCTATGTATTTTTAATATGAAAGCCTCGATATAACCGTTACATAATTTAAATTTGAAAAACTTTGCTTTTACTTCCACATTACATACCTTGTATCACCTCACCTGATACAACGTTATCGGTACGTAAGTGGATGATTATGTTCACCAGTTTCAATGATATATTTTTTACATGTTTAATCTAAAACGTAATCATTGATTTAAACTTTTCTCCCGGTGCTTCTTATCTTAGTTACGTTTGGTAACGAGTTTTGATTTATCATTAAAAACTAATTAATACATTTTTCGTCGTTAGATATTATTCGCCTGGATACCCGGATAGTCTTCTGGAAGCGGTTGAACAATATCAACCGAAATGTCCTTCCCTGTTCGCGATGGAAGAACATACGTTTTCTGATACCGATTCCAAGGATTCTCTCTCATCTCATCACGAACATGGTTAAAAGAAGTATTTATAACAATTGTATCTCGATTTTCCATTACAATTATACATATATTATTCATTAAATTTTATTATTTATTTAGCAAATATTGCTGATTAAATCTTTCCATTGATGTTTTAATGATTTCGATATTTAGCAAGGTCACAATTTAGTTTGAATTTCTATGCTATAAGAAATAACCACGTTAATGTTTGAATCTTATTTTGATATCATTTAGAAGTCTTTCCTTTTCTTTCCTTTCCTTTTTTTTTTTTAGAAGACTTTCGCCTGATTACCCTGACAATGAGTAGTCTGAGTTTGTAGTATTCTGTGATAAAGCCAGGTAAAGCTGGGTAAAGCTACGAGTAAACAGGAAAAATAGACCGCGTGTAGTCAAAATTCTGTTACAAGGTTATGTAGTAAAAGTACGTTTCAGTTTAAATGCTATCGTAATTTGCTACGTATCATACTGAATGAATTACGAAAATGAGTGAAGCGTCTACGAGAAAACATAAAATGAAAACTCAAAAAGGAGCAGTAGATAAAACGGTTACTAAGAAAAGTATGTCTACGAAGACATTGTACGATCGAAAGTTTACTGCACCCTTAAAAAAGAAACGTAAAAATGAGTATAATCCGATAGAAGAAGCCAGGTGCGGATATATATTAAGATAAAACGAAGTTAATTGAACGTCTTTAATAAATTATAACGTGATTCGTGTATAGGTTAGAAAGGATCGTATTCGGTGACCCAAGTGACATTATAGACAATTTATCAAATGACAAAGATTTCGTCGAATCGGATAAACACGAAAGTATCGATAATGACATTTCCGTGGATAGTGATGGAAATGATGATTTGAATACACAAAGTGATGATGTTTCTATAGAACGGCGGAAAAAAGCAGTATGGGTTGACGAGGATGATGCTCAATATTCGTATGTATAATGACAAATTAAGATTGACAATTACCATTAAAAGAAAGTAGTAAACTGATTGTGTGTTTTGTTAGAGTACAAGATGCTACAAGAGCACAAAATCGGAAATTACCTGTTGACATACCAGAAAAATTATATAAAGATTTTCTACATAACAAATATAAACAAATTGTTGGTACTCCAAAATGGGCAGATCTTAAAAAAGTGGATAAAGAATCTGATGATTTAGACAATGAAATATTAAAGGTAATAAAATTGTGCAGAAGTTATGTTAGCTTTAATCTAATATTACATTATTTTTGCAGCATAGTTGTCATTTAGAAAAACCTAAAATGAAAAACTTACCAAAGAGCATAATTGATATAAAAGCATTGACTCCAATTAATAAGCAAACACACACAGAAGGACCTGTTGTATCAAGTGTTGAATTTCATCCATCTTCCACTGTAGCTCTTGTTGCTGGATCATCTGGAATTTTGTCTCTTTTTCAAGTAAGCGATTACAAATTAGCTATATTTATATCTCCAAAAAAATTAATAAAATTATAATTTAATTACAGGTAGATGGCATTGAAAATAATAAATTACACACAATGCAATATAAAAAGTTTCCCATTAGTACAGCAAAATTTTTCAAAGATGGTACAGAAGTTTTAGTTGGTTCTCAATATTATCCTCACTGTCATTCCTATAATTTAATTACTGGAAAAACATATAAAATACCATTGCCTCATGGTATTACTAATATGCAGGTTTGTCAAATTTCAGTTCTAGCTACTTTTAAGATGATAATGAATAAACTTTTTTAAATAATCATTCAGAAATATGAAGTATCTCCAGATGGAAAGTTATTAGCCCTGTGTGGACGGTTGGGAGACATTTTTTTATTAACAAGTTCATCTAAAGAACTTGTTGGTACTTTGAAAATGAATTCAAAATGTAAGGCAGTATGTTTCACTCCAGATGGTAAAACTCTCATCACACATGGTGGTAAGTTTTATGTAACTGTAGGTCAATTTTGTATATCACTTTTTTAATTTTATTTTTAATTCTGTTATGGTCAACTGCAGATAGCAATGAAATGTACATTTGGGATGTAAACAGTCGGTCATGCATACATCGCGCTGTAGATGATGGATGTCTGTCTTGTTCATCTATTGCAATGTCTCCAAGCGGCCAATTTTTGGCGACAGGTAGTAAAGAGGGCGTAGTTAATTTGTATGATACAAAAACAGTATTGCAAAATCGACAACCTGCTCCATTAAAAATTATTCTGAATCTCGTAACATCAATTACTAGTTTAAAATTTAATTCTTATTCCGAAATATTAGCAATAGCTTCAGATAAAAAATATAATGCATTTAAAATGGTACATTTACCATCATTCACCGTCTTTTCAAACTTTCCCACATTTCAAACAGTTATATCAATGCCAGAAGCTATTGATTTTTCACCAGGTAGCGGTTATTTAGGAATTTCCAACAGATCGGGTACTGCCTTCTTATACAGATTAAAGCATTATGGAAATTATTAAAATATTATCATATAAAATATGTAACATTATTAAAGAACTTTTAATTATAAAGTGCTAAATAAAATGCTGTATTTTATTTGGAAATAAAATTTCATATTTATGCGTGAAAAGAATATAGAGATATAGCTTTTAATTAAATAGAATATTAGTTTATTTCTCTTTTTGTTTCTGAACATACAAAAGCAAAGAAATGTCTATCTACACGATCAAATATGTATACTGTTGTGTAGTACATCACTTTTAAACTCAAGTAAAAAAATCTTGTCCATATATGTCACTAAACAAAACATTCAATGCATCAGGTAAATAATACATCGCCGATTCCCGATATATCACGTTCATTGCTTTGTGTCTATCAAGATTTTAGTGTTAATGTTGTAATGATTTGTATACTATGTATACAAAGTTACAAATTAATATTTAAAGTAAAGAAGTATGATATGGTTGTACTAAAAAATACAGTCAATTCAGATTACTTCTTCTATAACCGTAATTTAAAGTTGCAAATATGTACAAAAAACTGCTAAATGATTTATCATATGTTTTAAGTATGAATCGAAGTATTTAATGTTTCTAATGTTTACTTAATATTTGTACTAAAAATTAATAGTAAATCAGTATCATTTCTTAAAAATTTTACTAAGAAAAATAGCATTACAAAATATCTATAAATAAAAAATACGAGAAATGATACTGTACATAAATAACTTCCATAGAAGCGTATCTACCTCCTTTGGTCGATTTAGATTTTTATACAAAAAAAGTTATCCATAGAACTATATTTTATTGTGTAATACACATACATGATATGTATACACATATATTTTATGGATTTAAAAAATGTGAAATAGATATATATATATATATGTATATGTGTATACATGTACACATGCGCGCATGTGTTATAAAGCATTTCCTCGCATTTTTATTTGGTATATGATATTTACTTTTTCGTTAATGTTTTTTTATGATTTCTAATCACGATCTTTAAAAATGTCATCGTTCGCGTAAATATACTTACCAATATCATTACAATTAAACTTATATACATACAAAAGATTTACTAGCGTATGTACAGAACTTTTCGATCGTTCGATCAACAAAGAAGTTTGTTAAGTCTTTGTCTCTTCTTTTAATTTTGAAGTTTCTACGTTAGTTTGTTCAGTTTCTATATTCCTTTGGTGAATAGGTGTGAGGAACACTAGCTATTGGTCCCCAGTAGTCGTTGCAAGAGCACTAGTCTCTCCACTACTACTTTCTACTATAAGCATTACTGTTTCAGCAGCACCTCTTACACATTCTACTTGGTGACCTGCCCAATCTTTGCGTTGACAAAATGTAGAACAATACGGCGTTCGTCTACATAACGAACATTCGGCAAATGCTTCTCTGTTACAATTGGCACACTAAAAGAAAAATAGTTTGTAATATTAGTTAAATGAGTATGAAGTTACATTGTTTGCATGTTACCTTTTTGTTATGAGAATCCGTTGCCGGTTGCAATCCAACAGTTTCAATAACATCTCCTCTACCTCCTAATTGAGCTACTAATGCTTGCTCTCGTCTTTGTTGTCTATTTACTTCTTTAGCTTCTTCTAAAGTACGTCTAAATTCGTAAGCTAATTTTAACATCTTATTAGACATCTCATCAAGTTTCTTAAATATGTCGTCGCTTTGTCCATTTTCTGTTTGATGAACACTTTGCACAACTCCATCTTGATCTTGTGATTGTTGTACAACTAAGCCATCAGTTGAAACAAACTGTGGCCATACTTCTTTATCAGGTATAACGACTTCTCCGTCGCTTTCATCATTATTACTACCGTCTCGTGAATTATCACTTTTAATTTTACGTGATGGCACATCTCCATCAGACGCATCTCTAGCTCTTTTTCTACGCTTGTACGGTGTAAAAAGTCGAACTGGACCCGTCTGAAACACAAAATACGTTTCAACATACCATACAAAAACAAAAGTAATTGAATAAAGTTATTTAGTATACCAACCGCGCTCTCATCATCGCAACACGCTGCGCAAGTACAAGAGGTGGCATGTGGCTTTAGAATTTGCTCGTCGATCAATGTCTGCAAACTTCTACCACCAAATCGAATACTCCTTTTCCAATCCTTACTTGATGCTCTACCACAGAGTGCTTCGAATTCGCTTGGTGTATACCAGTCTTGTCCAAGTTTTATACACCTTCCTCTAGCTCCAGATCCAAATCTACTTTTATGCAATTCTGCATTTGTATTCTTACATCTAACAGGCAATACTGCTAAATTTGCAGATTCTGACCAACTGCATATCTGTTGCGTATTAGCAGTAGAAACGTGTATTTGCTCAGATTCATGTTCCTCTGTACTGTTTTGTATTACTATATGTGTTGCCTTTAGTTCTCCATTCCAGCGTAAAGGATCTGAATCTTTGTCATGTCGGGGTTCACAAATAAAACCGTTATCTACACATAGCATCTGTTTGAATTGCCCCGAACCAGGTAACTGAAAGAAGATGACACAAGTATTAATATAGAATGTTTACTGTTTTCTTAAAGTTAAAACACAAAT